AAATAAAGGTTCAAGCCAGCCACATTTAAAATAACTATAAGCTTTACATGATTTTTACACGTTTTTACACGTAGTCACTTAAGTCTTTACTTGCAATTTCAGCAGGGTTAAATAATAAATAATTGTAAAGATCAGGATATAACAATGTTGGCCAACAAGTTAGACCTTCATCTTCTGATAACCAACCATTACTAAGCTTAAAAGGATCAGGTAGTTCAACACCATTTATAAAAAGTTTTTTTTTGTACTCAATAAGTATATCATCCTCCACCTCTTCAGCTGTTTTAATAGGCATAACATTGTTTCCCATTGCACAATAGACTCGAGCTGCAACAATTTCTTTCTTTCCAGATATTTTCAAGCCACGAAGACGTAAATAAGACTTCAGTTCTTCAACCTTCATACTACACACTGTATCATAATCCATTTTGATTTATATATGTTATATATTTGTTTTAATAGTGATAGGATTTGTTTTAGTCGCTTGTTTATACTTCGTTTACTCAAGAACTAAATTTTACGAACTTATAAACTCGATCCAGTCTTTTCTTTTAATTCTCTGTAACGTGGCTCGAACTGGTGTATTAAAAAAAATCTTTCTGCAGCAGGCTATAACAGGTCTCAGCCTGCTATTTCAAGAAAACTCAAATGCTTGGATTTATCAAGAAAACGTGTTGTTCATGTGCCGAAGAACGTTGTTGAAACAGCACAAATTAAACTAACATTCTTACCACGATTTGCAGGTGACTGTAAAGTTGCTGGCGTACCTCTTAGCAAACAACCATATATGCTGTTATTGTGCACATTAAATCCAGTTTCATCCAAATAAATAAGTTTTTTATCTGAAATTCTGTTTATTTTACTTGCAAATGCATAGCATGCATTAATAATTGGTGTTGAGTTTCGTTCTTCGGCACATGAACAACACGTTTTCTTGATAAATCCGAGCATTTGAGTTTTCTTGAAATACATGAAAACATGTTGAAGCCTGCTGCAGAAAGATTTTTTTAAATTGCTTCTTGTGTGCAAAGATTGTTTTCTTGTGCGCATAATTCGATAATATTTTTTATTTGAGAGTTTATAGGTCTTTTACCTCGTTTTTTATCAGAAAAAGACTTGAATGCAGTCATGTCGTCAAATTATCCTCTGTTTAACTTAACAACAAGATTTTGAACTGTGCGCTTAGATAAATTAAGAGAAGTGGAAATGCTTGTTGTAGATTGATTTCTTTCAATTAACTGCTTAAGCATTTTAATGTGCTCTTTTGTAACATTCTTCCTTGTTTTACAATTGGTACTGCTTCTTTCTATTCCATCCATAAGGATGTAAATTTTAAATAAATAATGATTATAAATAATTAAATTTAAATCTAGATAAATGAATCTAAATTTTATTCTAGATAAATCATCGAAAACAAAGAACTAATACTAAAGAACTAATACTAAATTTGTTGAGTTTACATTTTAATATGGCTATTGTCGCTGTAAAGAAAAAAATGAACATAAAATCAATTAAAGAAAAGTATGCTGCTTTAAGAGAAATTGTTGAAGGGTTGTCAAAGTATCAGGTTGCTATGAAATATGGCATTCCAAAACATATGCTGTCAACATGAATCAAAAAAAATTTTGATAACTTTTATTGTTTTTACTTATCCGCAATAGTTTGTGTAATATAATGTCCCGATAACTTGAACATTCACTAACTCAAACTATTTTCTAGATCCCTTGGAGGTTCGAGATATCAGGAGTTCACTGTATAACTTCTTTATTTAATAATATGCAAACTCGACTGTTTAAACTTATTTTGACTTCAGCACAAAAATTTTAATTGAAAATATTTTCTATAAAATCAACCTATAATTTTCTTCCTTGCAAGTTCTTCAGACGAGTGCAATTTTTTACTCTCGCAATGAAATTAGCATGCGCTATTTGTCACGTCTGGAAGGTCATTTAGAGACATGTTTCACGTGTACAGAGCCATCGCTCCCGCTTTATCACAAGGCCTGAATACATACATACTTACATACAAATATATATATATATATATATATATATATATATATATATATATATATATATATATATATATATATATATAATATATAAAAAAAATATATATATACATATATAAATGCAGCATTAAGGCGAGTTTCCACTCATCCGTTTTTTCACGGAAACGGGATAGGAAAGGGAAAAATAATCACGTGGGCATGCGTAGTATAAGTTTTAATATGTCTGAAGGAAAACTACGCATGCTCACATGATTATTTTTCTCTTTCCTATCCCGTTTCCGTGAAAAAACGGATGAGTGGAAACTCGCCTTTAGACGCAAATGAATGACATCATAAGCAGAAAGTTGCATGGGCTTCAATACATACAGTGACTATTAAATACCCTGACCCACAATCGAGTGCTGCTACATCGACTGAGAGTTTGGCATGGGACAGTATTCTTTTCATTCATTATTCTTTGTTTTTTTCTTCAGGTCGACAAAAAAAATTACTTTCATGGTAATTTATGGGTTTTATGGTAATTGGGTTACCATAAAACATAGAAACGAAATCGGCAATTTTTTGCCAACCTCAAACACTTTTAGGTCGACATTACCTAATGCCAACCCTAATTTCGATAGCTGATATATATATATATTTTTTTGTCAAAACTTAATCCTTATCAATCATTAGTTTGTTTGCCCATCAGAGAGAGAGTGAAGTGACTTAACAAGACTAACTTTAGTAATGTTAAATGATTAACAATTTATTGATTTAATAATAGCACATTTGAAAAAAACTAATAGTTCAAGACTGAGTTTTTAGACAAACTTGACTGAACTAAGAGTTTCAAAGCTGTTGTATATACATACATATATATATATATATATATATATATATATATATATATATATATATATATATATATATATATATATATGTATATATATATATATATATATATATACATATACATATATATATACATATACATATATATATATATATATATATATATATATATATATATATATATATATATATATATATATATATATATATATATATATATATATATATATATATATATATATATATATATATATATATATGTATGTATATATATATATATATATATATATATATATATATATATATATATGTATGTATATACATATATACATACATACATACATACATACATACATACATACATACATACATACATACATACATACATACATACATACATACATACATACATACATACATACATACATACATACACACACACACACACGCACACAAAGTTATGCATATAGATATATATCAGATGTACACTCGAGGTCGCCCGACGCTACCAGAGGACCGAATTTTGTGAAGGACAACTAAAAAAATTCCTTTGATGCATTAAAGTCACCCTAACAGGCGACTACTTATTTTTATTGGCAGTTTTACATATATAAATATATTTAATTGATTCAAGAACTCTATAAAAAGAAAATTAACAGTCTAAAATAAAAATAAAACTATATTTTGAAAGTGTCAAATTTTGTTTTCCTACATTTTCTATTTGTATAGTTTTATATTAGTATTATAAAAATAATATCAATATTAAAAGATAATTTAAATATTCCAAAATAAAAAAATTTTTGCCAAACTGGATGCTTTTGAAGTTTAAGCCACATAAACAATCGTTAATGTGATGTTTATTCAGAAAATATTACAACATAAAAAAAGACATTCAACCACAACTCAGAGTTTTTTAAAAAATCAAATTGTTTTATATAAAAAAAAATTAATTTTAAAAGCTTTTTAAACTAAAAAAGATTTTAAAAATTTTAATTTAGTTTTGAAGGAATGTAAAAAAGTAAAACATTGAATGTAAAATTTAGTTACAAATGAATGTAAAATTTTTAATTAAAGAAGTTTTTTTGTCTGCAAACTTCATTACGTAAAACATTTCTCAATCATAGATTATTGTCTGCAAACTAATTCATTACGTAAAACATCTCTCAATCATAGATTACCATAATTGTATATGCGAAAATAAAATGAAAAACTTTTTTTTATTATAAAAAGGGAGAAAAAATTTTAAATACATTTTACAAATGAATTTAAAACTTTTTGTTTCAATATTGTGAAAAGTTATTTTGATGTATTTATAACGTAAATTATGCTTGGAGTTGTCCATGAATTGTCACTCTTTGGGAGGGGAGGGGTTAGTGGTTTTGTAACGGCTCATACGGAACTTGCTACTAAAAAGTTACGAAATAGGGACAAGGGGGAGGAGGGGGTCAAAAATGGTTAAAAATTGTGTGACGTAATTTTTGGACAACCCCTTTACAAATATACCGATAAGATATTTATAAAATCCATCTACAAATTGTTTATAATCTTTATTAAAAATACTACTTTAAAGATGTAAAAAATAAAATAAATTGTGATAAACAAAAGATTATAAAAAATAATTTAAAACACTTTCAGAATATAACAATAGTTTTAGGCTAATGTAATAAATAGGATCTTAATAATTACAACACATTAAAAGTTTTAAAGTGTTTGTAAATTGTTTTTTTACAACTGCTAATTCATTAACTAAAATTAACAAACTGGTTATTTCAGTCGGCCTTCTAGCAACCAACCAAATGAATGAGTGTACACCCCTGTATATATATAAACACACATACACACAATTACGGACAGATATTTAAATTTTTATGATAATAAAAAATCAGAAAATAATAATAGTAACAGATGAGTATAGTAATTAAGTGTAAAATTTAATAATAATTCTTTTTTAGTAACTTTATGTAATTGATAATTTCTTATAGGCAATTGACAGAAAATGAGCTAAAGAGTACAGAGAAAACTAAACTAGGCACATTTTTACATTTAAAAACAGCCCCTTGCACTGCCCCATTCACTCCCCTTTCATGCAAAATAATTTAAAATGTGCTTATGTTAGCAATTATTTGGTTTTAAAATAAAATAATTAACAAAAAAAAACCTTTTGAATTGATTACTTCAAACGAATCTTCTTCTCTATAACAATTGTTTTTGATATGATCATTATCTTCACAACACCCTTTACCTTTAATAATATTTGCATCTTCGATATGATTTAAATCTCCATTATATTTATCATCATCATTCTGATCATGTTTTTCATGACTGTCTCCAATTTGCTGGTTATCTACCCAATACTCTTCTTCTTCAATATTATCTTCACAATGCTGTTTAATTCCAATATTTTTATCATTTTCAGTATGTTCTTCATCTCCACTATATTTATCATCTTCACATTTAGTTTTATTTTCAATACAATCATCACCTAAATTATGCTCTTCGTCTCCAGTAAATTTATTATTATAACTTTGCTTTTCATCTTCAGTATGATCATCATTTTTACTGTACTTATCTATTTTCATCATGAGATTATTCTGATGTTTATTAATTTCTAAATCAGTGTACACACAAAGATTCTTATCATCTTCAGTATTCTCTTCATCTCCACTATATTTATCATCTTCACATATAGTTTTATTTTCAATACAATCATCACCTAAATTATGCTCTTCGTCTCCAGTAAATTTATTATTATAACTTTGCTTTTCATCTTCAGTATGACCATCATTTTTACTGTACTTATCTATTTTCATCATGAGATTATTCTGATGTTTATTAATTTCTAAATCAGTGTACACACAAAGATTCTTATCATCGTCAGTATTCTCTTCATCTCCACTATATTTATCATCTTCACATATAGTTTTATTTTCAATACAATCATCACCTAAATTATGCTCTTCGTCTCCAGTAAATTTATTATTATAACTTTGCTTTTCATCTTCAGTATGATCATCATTTTTACTGTACTTATCTATTTTCATCATGAGATTATTCTGATGTTTATTAATTTCTAAATCAGTGTACACACAAAGATTTTGCTCAGGAGATTCAATTATAATGTTTGATAAGTTCAATATACATTGTTTTTCTATTTCTTTGTTGTTGTAAGAATTTTGATCATTAATAATTTGACAGATCTCAGCTTCATTATTTACATTCAAAAAACATTTTTCAGCTGAATTTTTATTATCAAGATGAACCAGTATATCATCATCTGTCTTTATTGTGAATTTCTTATTTAAAAACATTGAGCTAGATAAAACTGCTAAAAATAATTTTTATATCAAAGTTACAAAGCTCATAAAATTATATATATATATATATATATATATATATATATATATATATATATATATATATATATATATATATATATATATATATATATATATATATATATATATATATATATATATATATATATATATATATATATATATATATATATATATATATATATATATATATATATATATATATATATATATATCAGGGCCTATTCTAGGAAAAAAAATTGGGCGGGGGTACCCCCTCCTTCCGGCAAACTTAAGCGGAAAATTGGCATTTATTTTTTGCAAAAAAAACTATATTTGCCGTAAAAACGTTAAAAAAATAAGGTCCTCAAATTTTAATTTGGGCGATGCCTATTATTGGTGCCCAAATATGGGCGACACTATTAAAAAGGTCTACAATAGCCCCTGTATATATCTATATAAATATATATATACATATATATATATATATATATATATATATATATATATATATATATATATATATATATATATATATATATATATATATATATATATATATATATATATATATATATATATATATATATATATATAAATTAACAATATTTATTTTAAAATACATAAATATGTTAAATCATGATTCAATAACTGGAATTAAAAATATAATGAACAATTAACTGAAACAATGAATCAGTGTTTACATTAGTAGTCTGTGTTTTTATTAGAACAATAATGGGTGATGTTTGGTTCCAATATATACCAAAAGAGTATATAATATATTCATTTATTTGTATAATACTCTTTTAGAGTATATAATATTTAGAGCATATGACATACTCTTTTTAGAGTATATAATAGACTAATTTTTTCAGTTTATATATATATATATATATATATATATATATATATATATATATATATATATATATATATATATATATATATATATATATATATATGTATGCATGTGTATATAAATTTATGTATGCATGCATGTGAGTGTGTATACATATATCTGTGTGTATATATATGTGTGTATAATTATTTTTATTTATAAATATATATGTGTGCATATATACATAAGTATATACAAACAACTCTTTTATTGCAGTCTACATAAATACTTTAGTTTACATTTAGATCATTTTATTACAAAAAAAAAAATTTTTTTATTAAGAAAAATTAATATAATTTTATAACTTTTTTTATGAATAAAACATTCAGTTTGTAAATTTTTAATAATTTGGTTTTCATCTTGACATTAAAACTTTAATCTGATACTTTGCTGCTTTAATGTGATTTTTTCAGCTTACTGTGTTCCATACTTATTTTCTCAACATTCAAAAATTCAAATTATTGCATTTTCATCATTTTATAGTAAAATTATTAACTGCAATAAAAGTATCAATATAAAACAGTTTTAAATTGATACTTCAGTATCAATATAAAACTGTTGATTAGCAGTATCAGAGAAAACCAGTATCAAATATAAAATATTACTAAACACTAAGAACTATTACTTTGTTACAATCTAATATGGTATTTTTTTTTAGTTATGCTTTTGTACCAAAGTAGTGAACTTTTAATATGATAGTAAAAAATTATTAAAATAATTAAATAGTATAACAACAATAAATTAAATAAAACAGTAAAGAACATCTTACATTTTTCTGGTGATATATCATCATTATTTATATCTTCATTAGAAGAAATACTTGGAGATTTATCTCCTTCATATGAAGCTCTTTCAGAAACTATATTTGAATACAAATTTTGATCACCTAAGGAAACAGCTTTAACTAATATTTTATCAGTAAATTGTGGATTGTCTGCCTTTAAACTTCCATCACTCGGAATAAATAGATTTAAAGGCAGATTAGCACCTTGTGATTGATTGTTTACTATTAAACTCCCATCACCATAAACTACAGATTTATCAGATAAAACCTCCATTTTACCTGTCTGAATTGAATAACTATTCATTTCATTTGGAGTAATCATTAAATATCCGATGTCACGGTCATCTTCCTCATCTGGTATTGGTTCATCTAAAAGAAATTATTCACAAAATATATTTGATTATTAACAAAGCTGAGTAAAAGATTCTTCTGCAGTGACTACTTTATTACAAACTAAAAAAAGAAGACATTAAATATATTATGATGCAATAGTTTAATAAAATGTTAAACTATTTAGTTCATTAAAATAAATAAATTACTTATTCAATAAATTATTTCATTTATAAAAAATAAGCAAGTATTTTTAATTATATAGTAACTTTTATTATACTAGGTAAACAGCACAATGTTTATATAAAAATTATTAGACATGTTATCTGAGATGTATGTAGAACCCCCTTTATAGAGGAACATGTATTTAAAATAATTTAAAGTAAGTAATAATTATTTAAAAATGGAAACATTGATGATATATGAAACAAATCATAGATAGTCACCAAATAGAAACATAGGTATGAAACAAATTGTAATTTAAAGTCAACAAGTGCCACTAATAATCTTAATACAAATTTTAAATAAGTTTACCTTTTTCAATAATTTCCGTCCAATCTGGATCTCTATAAATAATTGTATCCCGCCTTTTAGCTTAAAAAAAAAATGATAACATTGTGTGAATTACTTATTATTTATAAAAATATAGAAAAAATTATGTAATAAATATATAAAAACGAAAAAGATAAAATTTTGTATGATTAAACTTGAATAAAACCTTTTGTAAACAGATGTTTAATTAATTTTTTCAAAATACATAACCTTTTGTAAACAGATGTTTTATTAAATTTTTCAAAATACATAACCTTTTGTAAACAGATGTTTTATTAAATTTTTCAAAATACATAACCTTTTGTAAACAGATGTTTTATTAAATTTTTCAAAATACATAACCTTTTGTAAACAGATGTTTAATTAATTTTTTCAAAATACATAACCTTTTGTAAACAGATGTTTTATTAATTTTTTCAAAATACATAACCTTTTGTAAACAGATGTTTTATTAATTTTTTCAAAATACATAACCTTTTGTAAACAGATGTTTTATTAAACTTTTCAAAATACATAACCTTTTGTAAACAGATGTTTTATTAAATTTTTCAAAATACATAACCTTTTGTAAATAGATGTTTTATTAAATTTTAAATTTTTGTAAACAGATTTTATTATTAAATTTTTCAAAATACATAACCTTAAAACATTTAACATTTAACATAAAGTCGTTTTAAGTAAGTTATTTCTCCAACTAGTGCTAATTAAAGCAAATAATTTGTTTCTCCCTTTCATGTTATTAAAGCCAAACAATTTGTTTCTCTTGTGTTATTAATGTCAAATAATTTTTAACTCCCTCTCGTGTTATTTCATTACAATTTTTGAAACTTTTACATTTGACATATGTTAGAACTTTTTTTTGCGTATTGTGTATTGAGTATAATACTCACACCATATGCAACTTAACATTTTTTTGAGTATAATACATCATGCGCAACTCAACATATGCATTTTTTTTAATATAATACATCATACACAACTCAACAAACGCATTTTTTTGAGTATAATACTTAGCACCTAACTTATCATTTTGGCCAATATACACCTATAGTTTTGTAAAAATAATAAAATAAAGTTAACAAATAATTTTTTAAAATAAAATGATGTATTTTTACGCAAAACTACAAAATGTAATTCAATTTAAACACATAAAGTTTCAAATATGAAGCTTTACATGCTTAATAAAAAAAAATTGTGTTTTTTTACGCAAAATATTCAAAAAAAGTATGTAAGATAAGTTGCGTATTGAGTATTCTACTCAACAAAAATAGGTATGATATGTTGCGTACTAAGTATTATACTCAAAAAAATGCGTAGGTTAAGTTGCGTATTGAGTATGATGTATATATTCAATATGCAATGTGCAAAAAAAAGTGCGTTCTGACGTATGACATTTGATAACATTCTTGTTCATTCTTTTACAATTGATAACATTCTTGTTCTTTGTGAACATATTCACAAAGAATAAGAGAAAAAAATAAACTTTATAATTAAAGAAATATGATTAAAAATGTTATAAATAATTGTATCAATAAAATGAAATATTTTATATATATATATATATATATATATATATATATATATATATATATATACAAAATTAAATTAAATAACTGTTTAATTTAATTTTAAAAAAAAAACGTGCTGTAACTATTAGTTTTAGTAGTACTTTAAATTATATCAAAATATTATTAACAAGATTGCTTTTAGTTTAAACTTCAACCAATAAACTTCTTGATATAAGTCTCAGAGTGTAATGGAGTCAATAACAACAAATTCCTACTTACTCAATATAGACATGTCTCACTTAAAATATTATTTAAAATATATTTTTGCAAAATAATCAGAATATATTGCAAATAGGAAACTAATTTATATGGATATAAAATCAATAACGCAAAATGAAATAATTAGAGAAAACGAAAAAAAAAAAAGTTCATTTCAATAGCTTCTTTTTATTGTGTAACATAATTTTTCGTCATCAAACTTTGAATGAAATTCAGTTTTTGTATATACAATAACTAAACTTCAGTTTTTGTATATACAATAACTAAACCTTTACAATAGTTGAAAGCAAACAATTGATTACAATACACTGACGGTAAAACATGTTTTATTTCAAATGCATTTTATGTTTTTGATGATATAAACTGTATAAAATAACATGGTGAGGTTGTTTTATACACACTAAAAAAAAAAGGTATAATAGAAGTATATTATTTTACCTAAAGGTAGAAATTATTATTTTTAGGGTAGAAAAATCATTTCTTAAGTTTAAGTGGGTAAAAACGGTAGAATGTTATACCGCTGAGGAGTTTTCTACCTTTGCGCTAGATGTCACCAGAATGCGGCTCGCAAACCATAAAATTATTATTTTTAATGTGAGGGTCTTACCTAAAATATGGACAAAGCTGAGAAATGTATTTTATAGTTTATAAAAAATATTTTATTGTTTTTTATTTAAACCAAAAAACTTATAGGTAAGCAACTTAGACAATTAAAAAATAATAACTATATGTATTATTAACAGATTTATAGCTGCATCTGGTTTTATTGATACATACAGCATTGATTTATTAAACAGTTTTAGATTTCAAATTTTGGTGCGGAATATTATTGTCAAGTCGAGTTTTGCAGAAAAGGGTGTTACAATGCACGAGGATTAATCAATCACATAATATTGTAGCATGGTCATGAAAAACATCTAAATTTGTCCTGTAGTTTAGATGGTTGTGTTTATTGCTATAACACTGTTAATACATATAGTATTATATTTTAAAATTTGATCAGTCTCATCTAGTTTCCATAACTTCAATAAACTGAATTTATCTAAAGATGTAGAAAACGTTGAAAATATTGTGGAAACGGAAGCAGAGAATATAGTAGTTATTGAAAGTGTGGATGAAAATGCTAAAAAATTATTAGCTGCCTCTTTCAACAGCTTCTTTAATATGTAATAAAATTAAATGTTTGTTTAATTTGTTTCAGAACAGTCTTGTATCACTAACAAGAAAAAGGCTTGAAGCACTAAATATTGAATCAGATGACGACTCTGTGTTGAATCAAGTATTACCTTTTTCCTCAACTTATGACAGTGTCTCTTAACTGTTTGCAACTGATCATTTTAGAAAATTATATATGCTAAATAACCTTGAGTTTGTTTACCCAATAGAACTTGATGTGCAGACAAATGAACTTCATCAAATAACTGAAAGTCTTGTTGGTTCTAACAATGCAACAAACAATGAAGCATTACCTGTTGTAGTAGAAAACACAGATAATAACATTTATGCAATAGAAAATGAAAAAAATCTTAAATAAAAAAATAAAATAAAAAAGTTGGTTATTATATTCCAATTCTTCAAAATCTATCTTCAAAAAGATGATATATGGGCTAGTTGTGAACCGGGCCGTTTAAAAGCAGTTAGTAGTGATGGTATTATGCGAGATTATTCTGATAGGACACTTTTTAAATCCGTAAATGTTAATAGCAACAAACTTATTCATTTATATTTGTATAATGATGAGTTAGAAATCTGTAATGCACTGGGAAGCAGAAGGGGTGATCACAAGGTTTCAATTTTATTTTATAGTTGGGAATATTGAAACTCATTTACAAACAAACCTTGAACATATTCACTTGGTATTAGTTGCACAATATAGTGCTGTCAAAATGTTTCAATATAATAAAATTTTAAATAAACTAAGGAATGATATTAAATTGCTTGAGACATGGGCTTGATTTAAATATTCTTAGCAAAATTGAACATATCAATGGTACTAGCATTACATTCTCTGGCGATAACTTATCCTCTTATTCTTTTGGTGGTTTTTCTACTTGCTTCTCATCTGGTAGAGTTTGTTGTTACTGCATGATTTCGTTTAAGTTTCTTTCAAAAGTTCATTCAGAATCTTTATGTCAGCTGAGAACATTAGATTTACATAATTATCATGTTCAAGAAGTAAAGATCAATAAATCACTCAGTGGTGTGTATGGTGTTAATAGTCATTGTTTGTTATCTAGTTTGCAGTATTTCAATGCAATTGAATGTTTTCCACCTGACTTTATGCATGATGGGCTAGAAGGGCTCTTGAGTGTAAATTTTTCAATTGTTGTAAGAAATCGTATCAAAGAAAAATTATTCACTATTATTTAGTTGAAAGAAGAAATAGCAAAATTCCAGTATGGCATTCCAGATAGTTGTGATAAACCTGCTATATCATGTGTTCCAAAAAATTTGGCAACAACCAATAAAACAATCCATGGAAAAGCAGTAGGGCGATGGTCACTATTTCATTTTTTGCCTATATTTGTCAGCTGTCTAGTAAAAAATCATGAAATACTTAAAAACACAACATTTACTTTGGCAAAACGACATGAAATGTGCAAGCGTGTTATGAATTTTGGAAGAAGCCCATACTATAAGGGTCCAAAAATTTTAAGTTATCAAAAATCTTTATCTATAGATTCACTTTCATTTGAACTTGTTGATGCCATGAAAAAAAATTGTTAACACCCATCAAATAAATCAACATGAGCAGTTGTGGTATTTCTACCACAAAACTTAGAATTAATGGATCTTTTATACAAGCACAAGTATTATTTGTCAAAAGGTTGCAATGACATACCTTTATTCTGAAAAGTTGAATATATATTATTGTTTTAAGAAACTTTGATTATAGACTGTGTGTTGCAAATAGTAAAACAATATATAGAGTTTGCTGATTTTTACAATATAGAGCAGTCTAACAATTGGGTTGTGGTGATACCTGGTGAACATGCTAATCATCTGTCTATGGGTTTTTATTCTGTTAATAATCAGGAAGGCATTTTATTTTGACATTGAGTTTGCTTAAAGGATAAATAAGAAAATTGAAACATAACATTAAAATATATATCAAAATGTTTAAAAGTAGAATTAAAAAGTAGAGATATTTTGTTTCCACAAATATTTCTACTTTTGATTTAGTATATGTTACTCGGGTGGGTGTCTGCCAGATAAGAAAAATTCAGAGAATTCAGATTTTTGCAAAATAAAAATCATGAAACAACAAAAAACAATGGAAATTTTGAAATTTTAAAAAATCAAGGTAATTCACCTTACAGTATTGGCAGACACCAATTTAATTAGTTTGATGATATTGCTCTTTTAGTATTTTCTGTTTTTTAATTTACTTATAATTGATTATATTTTTTTACTAGTTTTACTGTAAAAACATCCAAATATATTGCGAAAAAAAATATATTATGTTTTATTATTTGATAGAGTATTAAAGTTTTTCATAATTCAATAAAGCGATCAAATTTAAAATGCCTCTTTTTAAGATATGGTCAAGCAATCGTTTAGTGAAAAAGGCTGAAGATTTTGATACGCTGATAGTAAAGGGAAATTTCATAATACTATTAGATTATAAATACATTATTATTTTAAGTTTTCCTGTGAAGAGTTAATATGAAAAAAAATGTAACTAATTCTTATTAAGTTATTTTTTCAATTTTAATTCAAGTATCTGAGAAGTTTC